GAGAGAGAGAGAGAGAGAGAGAGAGAGAGAGAGAGAGAGAGAGAGAGAGAGAGAGAGAGAGAGAGAGAGAGAGAGAGTTCTCCCTCTGCCTCCTCTCTCTTCCCTCCCCCTTCCCTGCCCGCCACCGGCTTGTCAGCCATCGCCACAGTGATCAAGCATCCAACACCGAATCTTCCACCCTCTTGTCTTTTTTCTTTTTTTTCTTTTTTTTTTGTAATAAGACTCCAGGGGGCATCTGGTCTTTCTCTACCCAGTTCAATCGAAAATAGCTAAAGACCAAGCAAAACCATTCCTTACCCCTCCCGTCTTGAGTTCATCTATATATTTGTTTCCATCTACCCCCTAATCTATATTCTATCTACCCCTTATGTATCCGATCTACCCCTTGTCTATTTGATCTACCCCTCATCTTGGCATCTGACAAGATTGCTCGCATCCTTTCTGTCGCCGCGCTCATGCTGGGCCTCGAGCTGTCATCGCCGTCCACGCACTCCCAAGCCAGAGAGAGCACACTCGCTACCGTTTGCACCATAGCGGGGTTCGTCATCACCTGGCTCGTGAGACAGCTTTTGAGAATCTGGACAGGTACCCCGTCGTGTCCAAAACTACCCTTTTGGTTGCTCTGCGGCCTGACCCACTCCACGAGCGTCTGCCATCCCGACCCTGAGGCCTTCTCTAAGGCCTTCGGCGGCATCATCGCCTTTCGCCCCGTCAGCTTTACCCTCATCATGTACTCCGGCGACATGTAGCCCTGCGTGCCGGACACGTGGTTCGTCACCACGATGGACGAGTACTGGGTGTCGAACAGCCTCTCGCACATCAACGCCAGGCCGAAATGGCCAAGACAGTCTGAATGTTCTCTCCCGCTCCCGATCCCAGCAGAACGTTGCTGCTCTTGACATCTCTATGGATGACCGGCGGCTCCACCTACGCATGGAGATAGCGAAGCCCCTTGGCGATCTGGAAGGCTATGAACATACGCTCCACGAGGGTGAGCGGAGGAGGGCTTCCCGACATGGCTGCTGCAGTTCGAATCCCCCCTCTGTCGTGCAAGCGGGCGTAGAGACTCCCCCCGGAGCAGTAAGGGTACACAAGAATGGACTTAGTGTCTTCCTGACAATAACCTACAAGCCGAACGAGGTTGGAGTGGTGAAGCCTGCTCAGCGTGTTCACCTCCGCTGTGAATTGTTTCCGCTTGGAGGCCGTCAGCTCCCCCGTCATCACCTTGACGGCCATCTGCTGGTCCTCCAGAGCCCCCCAGTAGACGTTCCCAAACATCCCCTTCTCTCCCATTAGGCACTCGTCGCTGAACCCATTGGTGATGTAGGACAGGGTCCTGAGATCGAACTTTCTGACCTGGAAGGGGTGAATTTCTGGCATGGGGCCGCCGCCAGGGCGAGTGGAAAGCCGTTTTTCGTCGCGTACTCCCTGCTGCTCCTGTGAAGACCCGCCGCTGCGCCAGCAGTTAGGCACGCTGGATCGGTCGTCGTCGTTGAGTGGCTGCTCTTGCGAAGAAGAAGCCCCAGGGCAAGGCGTACGGGACAACTTGGTAGCACCTGGGCCCACTTGCACGCCGCTTTTGGTCCCATGGTTGCTACCTGCGGTCCCCTGCCAGCTGCCTTGGGGGGTTTCCTGCTCCCCCCGCCCTCCGCCCCCCTGGGCACTCTTCTTCTGCCGGCTTTTGCGATAGACAAGGCAAAGGAGGAGAGCAACGAGTGCGACGAAGGAAACAGCGGCCACAGGCAAAGCGATAAACAGGACAGAAGTCTGACGTTCGGACGTGGAGGAGGGAGTCGGGGAGGCAGATGGTGAGGGGTTGGGGGGGGGCGCAGAAGTGCTGGCCGGTAAAGACGATGTGAGGAAAATCCGGGGAGGGGTCGCCTGCTGCTCGCTGAAGCCGAGGGCAACAACACCTGTCACTCGCTGCGCCCGCTTCCGAGGTCCTCAGCGACCAGCAGGGTTTGTGGGGAATGCGTCGCCTGTTGTGTCCCCACTCTAGAGTCCTTAGAGCATTAGCATCTCCTTGCCCCAAACTTAGCTCTTTTCTCAATGACCATCAACATTATCAACAAAACAGTCAATGTTCCACTCTCGGTCAATGACAACAAGGTCAGCAAGTAAAGGGCTGCTCTATTCCCAGTGGACAGCAAAAGGGGCACCGATTCAAACACTGACTGAATTATGGTGTTCTGGGAAATTAACAGTTACTGGTCTGATCAGAGTCAGCAACGAGAACAGCAACGACGCAAACACAGCTCTGTTAGGGGTGAACAACCGGGGTAGCTCGAATTTTAAGGTCGTCTGATTTATAGTGTTCCGAGGGGTGGACAGTGAACTAAACGAACTTAACTAATTAAGGACTTATTTGAACAAGTCTCCCTTCAAAATCGTGCTAGGCTACTTTCGAGAACTCATCTCTTAGTGCGGCCCTTCTCTCGTTGCGAACTGCTCTCTCCGTCTCAGATCTCAATTCACCTGATTCTCTCTCTTCGTTCCGTTGTTCTCTCTCGCAGTCCTCACGTCATTCTCTCTTTGTTCTCTCTCTCGCCCGTTGTTTTCTCTCGCTGTTCTCAGGCCATTCTCTCTCTGTTCTCTCTCTTGCCCGTTGTTTTCTCTCGCTGTTCTCAGGCCATTCTCTCTCTGCTCTCTCCCTCTCTCCCTCCACAATCGCACTTCTCTTTCGCTTCGGAGAGGGAACGTGGGGGTGGTCCCCCCATTTTTTTTTTTTTGTGGTTCACCCAAAAGTGGAAGGATTTTCAATTTGAATTTGACATACAGTTGACAGAGGACGGGCTGTCGCAATGTAACAGCGACTGATGAAAATTGGCCCAGCAGGAAGCCGAGAAGAATTCGTTTCCAATTCAGGCGGTATGTTTCCGAGAGAATCCCGTCCTACTAGAAGCCCACGCCAAAACAAAGAGTAGCAATATCAGATAATAAAGAAAAAGAAAAGGGCACCGTTAGCGCCAGCATAGCTTTCCTTATCGGAACACCCCTACCTCACGCCTGTTTCTCTTTTGGAGCCGCGTGGCGACTCACAACTTTGCGGGAAGGTTTATGGTTGTCACAATCTGCGAGAGCAAAGCCCTTCTCCCGCCCGCAGCGGAAGAGCTCGTGAATTGTCGACCAGCTAGAGTCATGTGTTTGGCCCGACCGCGGCGAGATAGCTCGTTTAGGCAATTTGCAGTAACGATGTCTCTGGCCCGCCCGCAGCGGGAAGGCACAAACAGCCAATCAGGAATGACGATGTCTTTGACCAGCTTCCAGCGGAAAGGCTCGTTAAAGCAAATAGCTGTGATAAAGCCTCTGGCCTGCGCGCAACGGGAAGGCTCGAAAGGCCAATCAGGAATAACGATGTCTTCGACCAACTTCTGCGGAAAGGCTCGTTAGAGCAAACAGCAGTAATAAAGTCTCTAGCTTGCACACAGCGGGAATGCTCGTGAATTGTCGACCAGCTAGAGTCATGTGTTTGGCTCGACCGCGGCGAGATAGCTCAATTAGGCAATTTGCAGTAACGATGTCTCTGGCCCGCCTGCAGCGGGAAGGCACAAATAGCCAATCAGGAATGACGATGTCTTTGACCAGCTTCCAGCGGAAAGGCTCGTTAAAGCAAACAGCAGTGATAAAGCCTCTGGCCCGCGCGCAGCGGGAAGGCTCGAAAAGCCAATCACGAATAACGATGTCTTCGACCAACTTCCTGCGGAAAGGCTCGTTAGAGCAAACAGCAGTAATAAAGTCTCTGGCTCGCACACAGTGGGAATTCTCGTGTAGCCAATCAGATGTTCTCCTTTCCACTGCGCTCCTCCGCTCTCTCGCTCATGCCTTCTCCTCACCTTCGCTCACGCCTTCCCGTACTCACTTCCTCTCGCACTGCACTCTCTCCTCCCCCGCACAGTCTCTCTCTCCCTTTGCTCAGCCTCACTCTCTCTCCCGGTGTCTGACCAGTCTAACTAAGGNCCTCTCGCACTGCACTCTCTCCTCCCCCGCACAGTCTCTCTCTCCCTTTGCTCAGCCTCACTCTCTCTCCCGGTGTCTGACCAGTCTAACTAAGGTAGTAGCTGGGAACGCCTTGCACACACCGTCTGTCTCCCCCTGCCATTACTCCCGCGCAGTGACCGCCCGAACACGGACGCCTCAGTCTTGCTTGCAAACGCGTCTCTCCCGTCCTTWYGCCGCGGGGACACCTTGCACTCCTCCCTCTGCAGCCAGCACTACGCCGACCGTGCACGCTTCTCTCTGTTGCATGCGCTGCGCCCTCCGTGCAAGCTTCTCCTGCCTTGACTCCGCCWGCATCCGTACTGTGACGCGRGCTGGGTACACCGTGCATACTGTCCCTGCTCTCTAGTCCCCTTTCCCTTTATGGTTTTCCCGCACAGTTGAACGTGGTCTTTCCTCCTCCCAGGTCCAATCCGTAGGCCTTCGTAGGCTGAAGGTAAAAGCAGGGCCATGCCCAGCACTGGTGCAGTGGAACCCATATACAGTCTCARCGGGACCTRCAACTGAAACCTGCTTGTAAAAARAAAGCCAGATACTTCCGTATGGCAGGTACCCGTACCAAACTTGTCACTTTTACGCTCCAAAGCCAACCACGGTACTGAAAAGCAATTGTATTGTACCAGTTACCAACACAAAAGCCGAACCACAGTCCAGCTGTTGCTCCCAACACCCAGTTACCATGCTTGTTCCATATCTGTCCCGGATCAAAGTGTCAGGCCGAACCGGAAATAGCCACTTGACAATTCTGAGCTGCCAACACCGAACCTGAAAGTGATGTAGTGATGTGTATCATACCGATGCCGGATACCGTAGAAAACTGAAAAGCCAGGGTAGTACCGAACCTATTCCAGACATGAAACAACCATCCCCGAGCCTGTAAAAAAAGCAGACGCGTGTACCACTTCGGCGTCAAGCCAATGCCGTATCAATACCGAACCCGAAAAAGATTTGCGGCGTGTACCTCAGCGATGCTAAACCAATGCCGAACACGAGACAACCGTACCATGCCGATGCCGAACCAATACCGAACCAACACCGAATCTGAGAACATGTCAAATGCCGCACAATACCGTGGTCCCAAAGCTGAAATAAAGCGCCATAGTGGCACCAAGCGTGGAATAAATGGCCGCAGTGACGGTGCCGAGCCTGGGTTAAATATCCGTGATAACGCCGAACCTGGGATAAACTGCCGCCAACGTCTCTAACCTGGAATAACTGTCGTAGTAGCCCCGGTTCTGAGAATAAATCACAGTACCTGTCCCAAACCTGAAAATAAGTCACCGTAGTTAAACAACTGTCTCCGGCCAGACACCGTAGTACGAAGCCACTCCGTAACAACCCTCATATCCGTACTGAACCAAACACCATAGTCGACCCAAGGTAGCACCACCCCATGCTGTCCATGCGATCGTCCTCGGACTGTCACAATGAAGTTAGTAAATAGGTGGGTCGGGAAAGTGGCACGAAAAACCTTGATCATCAGGGATTGGCGAAAAAGTTGGGATCCAGAGAAGACTGATTAATCGGGGTTCAAAGCCGACGGTGGGAAATCCAAGGGAAATCAGGCCAAGCATCGAATAATCACCGGTTCTTGTTCGTTCCATCATTTTTAATCATCCCCCCCTTTTCTTAACTCTATTACCCGAAATAGTAAAATAACCGTAAACTTACCAAAAATAAATTCCGAGAAAGTCTTAATTAAATTGTTGAAATTCTTTGTTCCTTTTCTCCTTTATCATTTTTAATCTTTTCCTTTGTTTTCGATTCCATTGCCGGAAAACATAAAAATAACGGAGTATTTTCCCCAAAACTCAAATGCTGCGA